TGGAATATTTCGTGTAACTGATGTCCAGAAACTTGGAAGATATAACTGATGTCAGAAAGATAGAATCTTCTCGACCAAGGATGTCCAGAAACTTAGAATATTTCGATTACTGATGTCCAGAAACTTAGAATATTTCAACGACTGATGTCTAGAAACTTGGAATATTTCGTGTAACTGATGTCCAGAAACTTAGAAGATATAACTGATGTCAGAAAGATAGAATATTCTCGACCAATGATGTCCAGAAACTTAGAATATTTCGATTACTGATGTCAGAAAGATAGAATATTCTCAACAACTGATGTCCCGAATCTTAGAATATTTCGTATAACTGATGTCCAGAGAGATAGAATATTCCCGATAACTGATGTCCAGAAACTTAGAATATTTCAACGACTGATGTCTACAAACTTAGAAGATATAACTGATGTCAGAAAGATAGAATATTCTCGACCAATGATGTCCAGAAACTTAGAATATTTTGATTACTGATGTCCAGAAACTTAGAATATTTCAACGACTGATGTCTAGAAACTTGGAATATTTCGTGTAACTGATGTCCAGAAACTTAGAAGATATAACTGATGTCAGAAAGATAGAATATTCTCGACCAATGATGTCCAGAAACTTAGAATATTTCGATTACTGATGTCCAGAAACTTAGAATATTTCGTGTAACTGATGTCCAGAAACTTAGAAGATATAACTGATGTCAGAAAGATAGAATATTCTCGACCAATGATGTCCAGAAACTTAGAATATTTCGATTACTGATGTCCAGAAACTTAGAATATTTCAACGACTGATGTCTAGAAACTTGGAATATTTCGTGTAACTGATGTCCAGAAACTTAGAAGATATAACTGATGTCAGAAAGATAGAATATTCTCGACCAATGATGTCCAGAAACTTAGAATATTTCGATTACTGATGTCCAGGAACTTAGAATATTTCAACGACTGATGTCTAGAAACTTGGAATATTTCGTGTAACTGATGTCCAGAAACTTAGAAGATATAACTGATGTCAGAAAGATAGAATATTCTCGACCAATGATGTCCAGAAACTTAGAATATTTCAACGACTGATGTCTAGAAACTTGGAATATTTCGTGTAACTGATGTCCAGAAACTTGGAAGATATAACTGATGTCAGAAAGATAGAATCTTCTCGACCAATGATGTCCAGAAACTTAGAATATTTCGATTACTGATGTCCAGAAACTTAGAATATTTCAACGACTGATGTCTAGAAACTTGGAATATTTCGTGTAACTGATGTCCAGAAACTTAGAAGATATAACTGATGTCAGAAAGATAGAATATTCTCGACCAATGATGTCCAGAAACTTAGAATATTTCGATTACTGGTGTCCAGAAACTTAGAATAATTCGATTACTGATGTCCAGAAACTTAGAATATTTCATATAACTGATGTCCAGAAACTTAGAAGATATAACTGATGTCTAGAAAGATAGAATATTCTCGACCAATGATGTCCAGAAACTTAGAATATTCTCGATAACTGATGTCAGAAAGATAGCAATTTTCGACAACTGATAGTGAGAAATGGATAGACACTCTTTAATATAAACTTTGATATTTCACATAAACAAAGAACTTTCAAGTAGCCTTTTACAACTTATTTTACACCGATTTATTCTGTATACATTTTTGGGCTGAATAAGCAACAATATATGTGTGTTTATTTTATATTCGATGTTGTGTCGCTATATCTTCACGTGCATTTAATGTGCACCAAGTATCCCTCGAAGTGACCTAGCCTAATAAAATAAATAACAACCATCCACACTACCCAAATTAGGCTAGTTGTTACAATACCCAATACGATCAAAAATGTTACTAACATACCAAATGAAAGGTGATTTCCTGGTCAAACTTGCAAAAGTTGGTCCAAACTCGCACTTGAACCGAATATTTACCGGAAGTGTTTATATTTCCATTTGGGTGTCACTACGGTAAATCATTGAAAAATATTGAAAAATCACAAAATTCAGGTTCTGGGATACATATCGCCATTTTCGAACGAATTAGCCCATACAAGAACTATATTTCTGCGTTCCCCTATACATGACCTTCATCTTGACCATATATTTAACATAGGGTTTGCGTCTTGATTTTTAAATATCACTACGCCAACACAGGGACTCATTTTTAGGTAAAATCCCTGCTTCACCGATGAAAATTAACGAATAAAGTAGTTCAAGTTTACGGGACTATATTCTTGCGATTTTTTTCTAAAAAGGGCACATTTAGAAAGTAATTGGCCTCAGCTTTACATACATACCTCAAATGGCCACATTGCATACACTTAAACCTACTATACACACCATTGAAGTTTCATGGCTTCGTTTTTAAAGTATTAAAAAACACTACCCGGAAGTGGTATTTACCGTAGTAACACCTTAATATCCAAAAATGGGAAAATTTTTCTATGATAAATTTTGCTCATTCAGCATTTTTTCAAACAATTGAGTTATTTCATGCTCAAAACAGCTGCATTTTCAAACTTTTAACACATTTTCTACAAAATCTAGTCATATTTGGGGAAATAGGTGAGGGCTGAGTCTCTAAAAACTGGCCAAAATGACCTAAACTTGGGTTATCAACTTCAGAGATCTCATGCAAAAAATTTAGACGCAAAATCCCCGAGATTATTTCATTTTGAAATCATACACAGAATGTACTGAAACGTATGTTGTTAAATGCAAATATTTTGAGTCAAATGTGGTCCCCATGTGCAAAATTTGCCCTTTTTCTCCCCCTTTACGCCAGTTAGACCCCAGTGTACTGTGACATCATACTCATACCATTGCTACAATGTAGCAATTTACAAATTAATCATGATTACTCTTCCTGTGATACACCTGTGGTAGTTGAACACTGTTTATTCCCCAGTGTGTTGATTGATTACATGCCAGCTTACTTAGTTACTTACTAAGTACGCAATAACCACCATCAAAGACCTGCCGGCACCTATTTATTTTCGGGTTGGTAATGGAATTTTACAAGGGCAATACGAGAAGAATTCAATTTTTCATTATTTAATGATAATTGCGGTAGATTTTACGGTAGTTTGAACAAGAATACTGTTAATTCAAGCAGAAATATGGTAGATTTTCAAATATTTACGGTATATTTTACGGCCGTTCTTATAGAAAAAATCTAATTATAATAAAATATTTTATGGTAGATTTTGGTAAAATTACAGTAGATTTTTTCGGTTGTTTTACAAGAAAAAACAGTAATTTTTTACGGTATTTATATTATTTTTTATGGTAGATGCCGGTAAAAATACGGTAGGTTGGCAGGTATGAGTTACCATTGCAACCGTGGAAATGGGTAAAAATGAGAGCAAAAAACACCCAGACCCGCCATAATGGCACTAATTTTCAAAATATTTCGAGACATACACATTTTCTTAAACTTTGATATCGTCTAGAACACTTCTAGACAACAAAAATATCAAAAATGGGGGGGGAAGGCAGGGTCGGATCTGAGAACCAACAAGGAGGGGGGGGGCAAATTTCAGGTCAGAAAAAAATTTGGGGCCCCTGAAACCAAAAAGTGGGCCCAAATTTTGAGGCCCATTTTCTTCAAAATTTGGCCTGAAATTAAAAAATAAGGCCTTAAAAGGCCCAGTTATGACCAAAAAGGCCCACTATTTGGGGCCTTAAGGCCTTTTTGGCCCAAAAAATTTTTGAGCCCAATTTTTTTTCTGGGCCCACCCAAGGGGGGGCGGGCCCCCAGCCCCCCTCCTAATCCGCCAGTGGAAGGTTTATCACTTCAATTATTTTCAAGCCTTGGTCAAAGTAAAACTACGAAAAAGCACTCATTTTCACTTTAGAATCACCTATTATCGCCCAAATGGCTATATGTTGTCAAGGTCGCCATGTTAAAAGTAGAATTAGAATGCTCTTCAGACAATGTTTGATAGCTTTCCTTTATCACGGAACAAAGACCTTTGCACTGGTATGCCCATTTCCATGAGATAATGCACGTGAAAGAGGAACAGTGTCTTTAAATGTCATCAAAACTTTTTCGCACTACTTTTGGTGTAATAATACCATCTGATTGATTGTTGGTGTAAACAACGAGTCGGGTTAATCTGCACGAGGTTCGGTTTTTCATTAAGGGAAGTACTTTATTCCCATGATTCAAAGTGCTTTTCTGCCATTGGTTCGGTTTAAGTTTGTACAACAAACGTCCACGAATCCAGGGCAGGTTGACATTATCATTACATTTGTTTTGGGTGTATAGTTTTTGTTTTGACAATAAACAAAAAAAATCCCGCAATATATGGTGCATCATGGGTAGGACACGCTGTGAAATATGAACGTAAGTGACATCTATGTCAAATTAAATGTTCCTACAAAGTTATTAATCGCGCATGCGTCATGATAACTTAAACCAATCAGATTACTGGGTTTAATGCGCACGCGCCATAAACCGAATACTTTCCCGGGATTCGGGCTTTAGGATACGATTTTACACTGACCGATTGCAAACGAGATTTAGCGAGATGAAGCGGTTGTGAAACCAAGATGGCAGAAAGTTTGTGAACTTCTAGTATTATTATATCTTACGGTAGAGTATACCATTGATAGTGCTGACTTTGTCTGACCCATATTCTCCATGCTGTATTACCCAGGATGCATCTCTGAGAAGAGGAGATTTGGATAGAGATTTAAACGAGATTTAGCGAGATGACGCGTTTGTGATACTTTTGTTGAAGAATGAGCACATTTGAACTGATTTCTACGATCTCAACGTAATTTGAGGTATGGACTTTCATTTTTAATAACACCTTGGTGTCTTATGGACCTCCGTCACTAAAAATAATAGGGAAACACTTGTGTAGAAACGTCGAATTCTTAGTCTGAAAAGTAGGGTGTCTGTAATTTTATAGAAAAATTGCCAAAAGCTTATGAACTTTTAGCTCTTACTACCACTACTTACCATTGAGAGTGCTGACTTTGAATGGTGAGCACAAGTGACAGTTTTATTGAGACTCATTGATTTTAAAATCCTATTTTGTCATTGTGATTTTAGTTCTATTCAAAGATGAAGAAATGGCTCAGAGAATAATGGAATCTGATGACCCCAGAGAGCAAAAAGCTCTGGGTAGGAAAGTCAGTAATTTTGATGCTGATGTCTGGGACTCAAATTGCAGGGAGGTTGTGAAACAGGGCAGCATCGCTAAGGTACACAAGGATAAACATAATTATTATCTACTAACATTTATTCCTTGCTAACTGTAATGTGATAACCCAACAGATTTACTTATTTGTTTGCTGATATTCAGTACTGTCAGTTCGACGTCTCACCACTGTTGGGTTTCACTTAATGTTGTTTATATACACACATACATGTTTAGATCGATATTATCCACTAAAGTGTCCTATTCTAGTAATTTGTGGATATTGTTGCTCCCGTTCGTACTTTTGGCGTAATTCTCGAACTATTCTTAGTTCCGTTCGTACTTTTGACGTAAAAAGGTCAAGGTTACTTTCGTAGTTTTCTGGTCTAAATTTCACCCTGTTTACTATGTTTTATCATTAATCTAGTAGGATATGCACATAATACGTAAAATCAGCTCTCTATAGGTAGTTCAAACTTTGCAATCGGTCCCGTATTGGCGAAGTTATGGCCGTTTTTGTGGATTTACATAAGTTCGTAATTTATGTAAGGCGCTGCGCGTGCGCAGAAGACAGGTAGCCATCTTATGTTTTTCGAGTAAATCATTCGTGATTTGCTCCGCTATCTTCACTCAAAATGTCGCTATCGTTGACCGTCGAGGTGTCTAAACTGTCTCACGATTTACACCAGTAAGTCGTCCGTCCACATGAGGTGATTACAACAGGATCTGCACGAAGTCTGACCCCCAAATCAGGCTTGAAGTTTGAGGTTCACCCCTCCCGCATGACATGCAAATATCAGCACGTCTGTCAAGTGATGGCGAACTACATACCACCAACAACCAACCACTCATATGCTGATGCAAATACCTCATGTGGATGGACACCCTTCACCTCATTTCAAGCTGTAAGCACTCTATGTATACTGAGTGTGGTGAAATTGGCAAGTATTACATTTGGATTTGGATTTGACTTGTTAATGCAAAAGCACATTGGAATTATTTGACCCATATTTGGTTTACATGGTTGATGATCAACATACCCAGTTTGATCATGTCAGTTTGCTTCATTGTTGTTGATTAATACCCAGTTTGATCATGTCAGTTTATCTCATTGTTGATGATCAATACCCAAATTGATCATGTTTTGGTACACTGCAAACTACCCTGTGCAGCTGTATGTTACGTAATGTCTCGCTTGTATGCAACAAGTCTTACTGTTGGGCAACAGTTAGTGTCAGATAGATGATGGTGTTGAGTTAAACCCTGATGGAACCCTAGTTTATGGTCTAGCCTGATACTAGTTTTGAACTTAAACTATTCTATTGTTTATCGATGGTTGGAGTGTCGGTTTTATTGTATCGTTGCGTTAAGGTCGTACTATAATTTTTATACTGTATGCATGTATGGCTTTCCCCAAAGCCACCCTAGGGAGATACAATTTGTTGCACCCAATATTACCAAAGGGAATACAAGTTGTTGCACCCACCCTTATGTTGTGTCATGGAATATTATAAGTTGGTGATGTACTACTACCAACTTGGGTCTACAGGTTCACTTATGTTCATGATTGATCTCTTACTACATAACATGCACCCACTTGTTACATAGCATGTACCCACATGATGTGTAATCGCACCCAAATGTCATGTAGCACGCGTCGGCATGTTTCATAGCAGGCGCCCACTAGTTACATGACATGTATATCCATGTCATGTGATTGCACCCACATGTTATATGACATTAATTTTCCTAGCATGTTACATAATGAGCAGTCATGTAAACATTGTTATCACTAATTGGTATGTTGAATCAAATGTTGTACAAGTTATTGTTATAGTCATTATTTGGTATGTTTCACCCAAGCTTGTGAATACGTAATGTTACGTTGATATTTTTAGTCGGTCTTACATTTTGTCAGTGGTTGTAATTCGGTTCTTTGCGTCATGTCGTACACTCCAAGGTGCCAGTTGTTGTTGTTCTCATTGTCAAAGGTTGTTGCAAAGTCATGGTAATACATATCACTATGTATGTTTATTTGGTCACCAGTTGTGTCACACACTCTCCCAGATGAAAGTATTGTATGTTATATGTGTAGTTAATGTAGGATTTATGAATATGAGCTCACTAATGTGTATTTGCAGTATCAGCTTCTTGGTAACTATGTAATCTTACTTAAGTATATATTGTACTTGATAGGAAATACTATGTATACCATCGTAACCACATTTCAGGGATCTTAGTTGCATAACGATCCACCTTTGTGCATTATCCTTGAATATGGGTACCCGTTGCCATTGAGTAACGCTGCACCATATATCATTCATGTGTCACAATATCAGAACTTTTATTCATATATATATTTCCACACTATGTGTGTTATTGTCATAATTACTATACTCAATTTATAATCACATTGTAAATAAACCCATAATTATGTCATCATTTATATTTAAACTAAATCGTCTGTTTTTTCAGTTAGGTGTATGTTTTATGTCGCAGTGCGACATATTCAGCCATTTTGCCATTCAATCAATCATGTCTGTAAAACCCTTGAGAGCATATACAATCACAACACGGACCCGGTAATAATGTGACGATTCTTCCACTCACTCATCAACCCTTTAACGCTACCAATACCTTTTGCACTTACCATGCAGAGTGAGGGTCGTTACAGTAACAAATCATAATAATTTTAACCCAATAATCAAAACATATCCTATCTCATTATTCACAGTCAGGTATGGGTTTCAATTTTTAACTTTTCAGTTTTCTCAAAATGAAGAACTGAAGAAGGTTCTACTGGAGACAGATGGGACAATTTTAGTTGAGGCTAGTCCAAGAGACACTATATGGGGGATAGGCTTAGGTGCTGATAACCCAAAGGCAAAGAACAAACACACATGGAGGGGCAAAAACTGGCTAGGATATGCTCTAACAGATGCAAGAACTGAAATAATCAAGGGGAAATGACATACCATACACTATCAGAGAACTCACAATAGTGCAATACCAAACATTTGTGGAGCTTTAGTTACAAACTGTTTGGCTTAATTAAATTTTGCCAATATCATGTCATAAGACCCAAGAGCTTGCATTGTTAAAAAGTCAATACCTGAGTGCTCGAGTCAATGCCCATGCCAGACAACAGGCCCATTTATATAATGTGGCAATACCACAAAATGGACTATATGACTTGCACAGACAGCAGAACTCACATCAGCATTGGATCATTCTGTAACACTTGTGTTATACAGCATGTACTCTGCTAGAATGCAAAACACTAATAAATGTCATGTATTATACATTTTCTTGCATATTAGCAGATGTAATATTCATTATCTTTGAGCATTTTTGAAGTGCCAATATATTGCTCCGATTCACTGATTTTATACCATCCATTAATGCACATTCCAAAATTCCATCAAAAACAGTGATATTGTCATATTAGTTTCAGAATTGTAACCTCAATGCTTTTTCTTATAATCATAAATAAAGATGACCAACACAGAAAAGTCACTTTAAATATTATTTATTTTTGTGTAAAATTATATTAATTATAACTTCTCATATCCATAGAGCTTAATTTCTACAATTGTATAAACATTTATACAGGATATACATAATAGCATTTTGTATGCATTTACTGTACATGTAATAACAATGATAAATATTTATACATGTACATCCAAATAATTAATTTGTATTGAAACATTAGAATTTACCAATAAAAATATTAGACAATATTAATTTATATCTTACTGTATTATCTCACCCACATACGAGTAGCATCTATATTCTCTATGCATTTCAACATGAATTCTAGTTGCACTGTACATGTACATATTTATAATATGTTACTGTTTCATAAGGGATATGAAGTTTTGATTGAAATTTTTGTCAGGAATTTGATCATTTCATACATTTCTCTACACTTTTAATGTTCCATAACACTTTAGATTCTTACATGTCGTGCATGCCTGAGTCATATTTGGAAATGATTGCATTCTAATACTTTGAACTGCTTTGGAATATTGTTAGTATCCAGCTTAAAGCTTTGCCTTCTTCATTGATGCCATCAGTTTCTCCAGCTTCATTGCAAGAGCCATGTTTCCACTGATCTTCAACTTTCCTGTCATGAATGCTGATGTTGGTTTTAATTTTCCAGAAAACATTTTAACAAAATCGTCCGTTGACATAGTCATGGTACAGTCAGCCTTGCCTTGAGGTGCTTCACCTTGTCCTAAAGACCCTGCACCATTCTTCAAGTCTAGAAACCACTGTTCCTTCACATCCCCTGGAAAAAGATTTTTTAGATCAATTGAACTGTTTTGTGTCCATTTCATTTTAAAAGCATTTTAATGATGACTACATAGTTTACTAATTAAAGTCAAAAAATTCTGTAGTCAGATTTCATTAAACAATGTATTTCAAATTTTCGGAAAAATGAGTTGCGAATTCAAACTGACTTGTAAAGGTCGACTTAATATATTTTTGGCAATTTGTGCAGAAGAATTTTAAAGGAAAATAATAAGGAATTTGACCAGAGTTTTATGTAATACTGAAAAAAGCGCTTCATAAATAATTTGCCCAAACAATTGAAAACTAAATGTAGCCAATCTCACAAAATCCCTAAAAACGATCATTTTTCATGAAATGTGGTTTCAAGAACACTCACCTGCCAAGTTGAAGAGAAAGACGCCACCAGTGCCTTTGACTAGTTCCTCACTGAGCAAGGGTTTGATTTGGTTGAATGTTTGAGCAACTGGTCCAGTGGGCTCTGTCTGGGCAGCTTCAGGGGCAGCACCGTCCCACTTGGGTGTTTGTGTGACAGGGTCTTCAGGATCCAGGAAGAAATCTGGCATGAGGGTTGCACCTGGAACACGGGAATCAATTTAAAATAAATAAAAAAAAAACATTTGTTTAGGGCTAGATGTACAACCAGATTTTCTTGCAACAAGGCCAATTTATTTGATGTTCCCATTGTTTCATATTAACAATGGGTTAGGAGCATCATAAAACACGAATCAATTGATATTTTAGGTGAAATAAATATATGTGTTGCTGTGTTTGAAAATAGGTGAATGGCGTAAATTCGCCCTATTTTAATGAATTTTGAAAACCTTTCATCCTCCACTTTTCCATTACAACAAAAAACACATACGTTTGCGAACAAAATCAACTATTTATTAATAAACTAGAGTTTATGAGCAAAATAATCATGTATGATATATTAAAAATTGGTCTCGTATTTTTTGTTTAATGAACACCTGAAAAGATGCAGGTAACAAAAAATGAGCAAAAAAGGTTGATGTCGACAGATTCTATTTTTCAAACTATATGACGTCACAATATTGGACCCTTACTAGAATTCATCCTTTGAAATAACACTTCCATCTACCTTTATCAAGACGCTAATAAAGTATAATATTCAAATATTGTTTGAGTTTTGTGCGTTTAAAGACGAAAAATTATTCAAAATGTAACGTGTCGACAGCGGATATTTGGCAGATTTTGGGGTAAAAAACTCTTTTTTAAAAAAGAACACGCAAGAATTGTGAAAGAAGTGTACTTGATTTGAAAACTTCATTAAAGCAGCTTTAAAATGATATATAATTTTAATTAGAATATTATCTTATATTCCGAAGAATTAAAGTTACATTCATGCGATACCCTAAAAACACAAGTGTGCCAGCTTTTTGCGACGTGTCTATAGATGCTGACACAAACAACTAACAGCAAGTTATAGCAGTAAAAACAAGGTATTAACATGCAAAATGTCACCACCTGTCATTTGTTAGATGCAGACTGCTGAATCAGAATGCCAACCACCAAACAGCAACCACTGAAAACCATCCACATAAAAGTTGGAAACTATAACAATATGTCACCACTTCTGATGGCGACATAAAAATGGTGACTACAACTCGTATGTCACCACTTTAGGTAGTGGTAGTAACCTTAAACAGGAGAAAACAAGAGTTTCTAAAATGCGATTATGAATTTAGGAAGTTGAAGGGATAGTCACAAGTTTATTACACTATTTTTTCTGTGTTTTCATTAACTAACTCATTAACTATTGTCGTTCAAAAGGCTTTATTTCAGGATCAGTTACAATTTAATGTAACCTTGTAATAGTTTTAAAAATTCAAATAATTAAATGTGGACATTTTACATCTTAAACTTTTAATAATTTTAAATAAAATTAGAATTGTGACTTGTGAGGGAAACATATTTTAACTCTATCCAATCTACTTCCTTAAATAAACACAGAATTCACATATTTATATTCCTATATACAACATGTGACATTGAAACAGAAAGCACAAACATGCAACTTGTATAAATCACATCTACACATATCTAGCCAAACTCACCAGGCACACAGGCATACCCATCAAGGTCTGTCATGCCCTCTTCCTTCAATACATCATCATCTATGAGGAATTTGCCTGTGTAAGTTTTACTGTCCTTTCTAAATATTGCATATGCCGCATCAGACATTATGTCAACTTTGCGACACTCGGCTGCAACACTCTCACCTCCTCCGAGCATCTCCATAGCAGCTGTATAGATGGCTGAATTAAAGATAAAGAATTAGACATGTGACTTAATTAGACAAAGTACCCAGGAAGATGCTAGAATATTATGAACTCTTATAGGGATGTATCTATTGCATATTTGCAAAATCTTGCACATATTATAGCGCATCTTGTATTGTAGAGTTCATTGATTTGTAGCCTACCCTGTAAGGTGAGTTCATATTCTAACATCCTTCCAAGGCACACTTTAAAAGTCAGTATTACCTTTAACTATACTATAAGGAGAGAAATCAGTGATCCCAATAGCACTCAAGATTGCATCATCAATGCAAAAGTTTCCTGTGAATTCAGTGCTATCTTGAGTTAGTATAAGATAAGCTGCGTCAGCCATGATGTCAACTGTTCGACAGCCAGCTTGTCTGCTTTCATCACCTCCACCAAGAAATTGTGAGGCAGCAGTCCACACCACTGTATGAGAGTAGTATTAGTATACATATATACATCAGAGTTAAATATTATTAGATATTTATTAGTCTTAGCATGTACTAGTTGTGCTGTGGTTTCAAATAAAAACAAAAACAATATTTTTTAGGGAATCTCCAGTAAGATACAATTGCTCTTATAGGCCTATCAAGGGATTTTTTCTGAGACTGACATTGTTTAAGATTGTGAAATTACATTTAATGACATTATATCTCCCAACTTAGAGTTATGGTTACCATAGTAACAAGGGTCAAATTTATGTGGAAATCTAATCCTAAAGGACAGTTAGTTTGAGGGAACACTTGTTGTGCCTCTATGTAATTGATATTTCAATTATAAAACTCCACTGAATTCATCTATGGGGTCTTTATATATAACAACGTGATCTGTCATGTTACCTGTCCTAGGCCAAAGTGCATTGACAGCTACTCCATCATCTTTGAATTCATCTGCCATCCCAAGTACACACATTGACATGCCATATTTGGCCATTGTGTAGGCTGGAACACAAAGCAAATATACAACATTGTAGTATGCTAGTTTTTTATGTACATACTCTATGTGCGTACAATCATATTCAGACATATATAGTATTTCTAATGTATTGAAGCTTCGAGCTTTGTTGTTTAAATAGCTCTGTGGGTTCTTCATAAAATAATATGGATTGGTCTTGTTATGTAAAAAAGACAAGATTAACACAGAATTAATATACTCATAAAACTATACTATATTCCAAGTAAAAGACTAAACATGTACAATTACACTCTTCAGTATAAAATAATGGCAACTCCGCAGAGTAGCAAATCCCAACGAACAAAATATCAATTACCGAATTCCAATCAATTATACTCATTACTTTGGTTAAAATTGAAAAATTTAGATTTTAAAATTGTGAATTCCTGCAAAGCAGCCATTTTGAATTTTCTGAGGTACAAATCTGAAAAATAATACCATAATTGTGATCTACTTCAAAATTCCTTCAATTTGAGTATTATATAGCCATACATTGAAGGGATTGAAAAATTGTTGCAAAATCGTACATTAGACAGCCATTTTGAATTTTACGAGGCTCGAATCAGAAAAAAGATACAATATTTGCAATCTACTCTTAATTGCCTTTCATTTGAGTATAATAAAGCTATACTTCAGAAAGATCTAAAAGTTAGCGAAAATTTCTGTTTTCCTGACCCCCCATACACGGCCCCTGGGGGTCAGGATGAAAAACACAGAATATATGTGAAATAGATAGATGTTGCGAATATACTTCCAAAATTTCAAACAATAATATTAATTACTTTGGTTAAGAATGAAAAATTTATGATTTTTGCGAAAAAGTCCCGTCATTTTTAAAGCGGCGGCCATCTTGAAAAAATCCATTATGAATTTTCTGAGGTACGAATCTGAAAAATAATACCATAATTGTAATCAACTCCAAAATTCCTTCAATTTGAGTATTATATAGCCATACATAGCCATACGTTGAAGGGATCGAAAAATTATTGCGAAATCGTACATTAGACGGCCATTTTGAATTTTACAAGGCTCGAATCAGAAAAAAGATACAATATTTGCAATCTACTCTTAATTGCCTTTCATTTGAGTAT